GTGTCATCATGGGCTTGGCCTCCCTAGTTTTGAAGGTTCTCATTATCCATCCTGTCATTTTTCTAGCAGATGCGATTGATACAATGTTATGGTCCTTGAAGGTGAGATCCTCCGACATGATCACTCCAGGTCTTTGACGTTGGTGTTTCGCTCTATTTTGTGGCCAGAATTTGTTTTGTACTCTGATGAAGATTTAATTTCCTCATGTTTGACAGTGTCCAAATATTGGCTATAAGTCTGAGACTCTTGTGGGCTTGGTTTATTTACATCAATACCTATCGCATCTAAATCCCACAACTTATCAACTGGTTCATTCATTTCTTCCAGTAATGATAATTTTTGCTGTGGTACATGATCAGCGGTTATTCTCGTAACTAGTACATTTTCCACTGAATCAATATCAGCTTCTTTCCCACTTTGAGAGGGAATGGGACCACATATCATGTGGCCTCCTGCTGTTTTCAGCAAGTGAACATGTTTACTTACTATATTTTGCACAAAACAGTGATAATAATCACTTCCAATGATTAAATCAATTGGACTAATTGTGTCCGTCTGTATGTCAGGACAGGCTAACTTGACCTTAGCTGCTTTCAGTGCTGCAACTGTTTCTTTTAATCCCTGGATCTGCACAGACTTAGGCAAATCATCTACTACCACAGCTTCTACTGTCTTTTTCCTGTTTCCTAGACCAACAGTGATTCTGGCTAGGTCATATGTCTGTTTACCAGAATTGTGGAAAAAACCAGCTATATCTAACTGTATTTTGGCATAGGGTTGTTTATTCAGTTTCTGCAACACTGTTCTTCTTATGAAGGACCTTTGTGAGCCTTGATCAAATAGTGTTAGCACATTGGTTTTGTGTAATTTATTAGATAACTGAACTCGAGCTATCGGGAGAGCAGTTGCTTTAAACTTATCTCTCACATTTAATGCTGTTGCTTGTTGACTTCCTGATTCTGTGGAAGTCTTCTGCTGTTCAGCAAAAGTATTTGGGCATAATGCTGTATGATGCATACCCTTGCATTTAAAACACTTCTTCAGTGAGCATTTACCTCCTTTGTGTTCACCTAAACACTTGATGCACCTTTTCAGCTGATGAACACGTTGTTTACGTGCCTCCATTGATGTGTATTGACTACAATACAGTGCCCAATGTGTTCCGTCACAAAGTACACATTTTGGAGTACGTTTATGTATGACAGTCTGTTTACTGTCTGTTGTATTCACAGCTTGATAAATGCCTATATGGGATTTCCCATTATGTGGTTTAGTGGGAGTAGGTATACTCTTTTTATACTGAGTTGAAGGTTTATTATCCACCAGATTTGTGGATTTTTCATCTTGTCTCGTTGCTTGCATGCATGAAACTATTGTTTGTAAACCATTGCTAATTTCCTCACAAGTGAAATAGCGTTTATTGAACATAATATTTAATCGTTCAATAGTTTGTGGTGACACCTTATCTTAGGTCATATTTAGCATCTAGAGATCTGAGACTATTGTCTAATGTGATTCTAAATGCCTGTAAGTCTGAAAAACAATGTTTGGGTGGCTTCAAGCTTGATATTAAGACTGCATGTCTAACTCTGGCCTTGTCAGCATCGAAGTAATTGTCTGCTAAGACACGTAAGGCTATTTGATAATTGCCTTTGACCACCGGAAATGACTTAATCAGTTCATAGGGTTTTCCCTTCACAAGACATTTAAGGTAATTGAACTTAGCAATCTCATCTATGTCAGTTCGTGAATTTACTATGGATTGAAACCCACTAATGAATTCTTCATAATTATGACCTTTGAAAATAGGTAATGACAATGTAGGTAAGCTTGGTAATGGGACACTTGTTGTTGTTACAGGTGTAACAGGTGTTTGACCACTAGTAGTAGGTCTCTGTGACAGAGTTTTGCGGCAGATAGCCTGCACTCCTGTCCACCTTAATTGTTGATCACTAAAAGTATCCAAAACATTTTTAATTTCATCCTCAGATGGATCTGATTCAAGAAATTTATTTTCATAATGTGTATAGTCTGAATTAATTATTTCCATACGTTGTGTAAATAATTCAAACTTGGCCTCAAGATCATCAAAATCTATGTTTGTACCTTGAGTTAATCCTATACAGACTGAAATTAGATTTTCTAATTGTGCAATCTTAGTCTGTAAAGACTGAAACTGAGTTTTCAAACAAGCCATTTTAATGGTATACTGAAAATTCTAGCACCACACTTAGAGTGTTTAAAAAAACACTGTACTGCTATAAACAGCTGAGTTTTTGTTATGCTTAAGTCAACAATAATCGAGTCAGACACTACTGACCTACTAAGCTTAACCTCAGGGTCAATGATCATGAAGGGTACACAGTACATATGGCTGGTGTTTATGGCTTGAGTTTGCTGTGTCAGCCTGACAACGATGATTAATCGTAAATAACGTTATACACTTCATTCACTATACACTATAAATGTCACTGTATAACTGTAAATCACACGTGAATATTACTTACACATATATAAATGTCACTGTTAATATGTATTTGAAAGCTTACACTTTATATAAGTTCCTCTAATATAACAGGTAGATCTATAAGAAACAAAATTTAACACAATCTTGTCTCTTAATTTCTGTCTATAAACATTATAAACACTGTGTATATACACTCAGACAAACTGAACATCACTTGGGTTGCTATTGTCTTTAGTCAGCACTTCTCGAGATTGGAGCAGTGGGTGCAGGATGCCATCACCCGTTTTCTTGTTTGGTGAATCACCCAGCTCCCGTTTTCTTTGGGTGAATGCTGGGAGAGCGCCCGTTTTCTTTTGGCTTCCCATTCTCTGTGATTGAGTCTGGAGGGACTCATTTATACTGATTTATATTGTAAAACACTAGTTTTACAGCTTTTATCGAAGGACCTTGGCTCATAGGTTATTTGTACACTGTAGTACAACATATTTGGACCACAGTGTGGTCTTTATCCGGTTCGAAGGATCAATTCTGTTGAGAAATGGCATTACCAGTTAAGTTTAAAGACTTATACTTAACTTAAAAGGACAACTCATCGCCTGCACAGCCGCCCCTGCAGACGAGGTCTAGAAGCTGTCGAAACCATCTCAACATGGGCTGTCAAGAAATATAATTTGTATGATTATAAATTACCCCTAGGGGTGTTATGTCAGCATATTTCATACACTGGTGGCTGACGATGTACGTACTAGTTTGGACTCAATGGTCCGCATATCACCGGGGTTTATGATAAGTGACTAACTCACGATTTTATACTCAACTGCGCAGTCAATAGTAGTACATCACGAGTTAGAACACTTACCTGGGTATATGTATCTGACCCGTAATTACGCCCGGATATCCGTTGAGTTGATTGAAGAATAGTGTTCTTTGATGAATGCCGCACAACACTCTGTTGGATCGCAACACTCGTTGTTACACTGTTCATCAATAATTGTTCACACAATATCACTAAGAAGTTGATCACACTTCTCTGTAAGTGTTTATCGTGTTTTGTGAGACACTTTGTCCACACTAACGCACAGATCAGTGTTCTTTGTTGGTTATCCTGGTGTCAGTGTCACTCGTAGTAGAGTCAAAATTAATCTGAAAGACGCCACAGCGCTCCATGCTGTCACTGCCCCCAGCACAAAAAAAAAAGCTGACCTAGTACTCCTTGCTTCCTTGCCACTTCCTCGATGAAGCAAAGCAGAATGTTTGATTCTTGCTCTCTTAAGCATAGACAACAATGTCCACTATCTTTACTATGGTGATAAAGTGGGAGCAGGATTTTCCTTAATTGTCCTGCTAAAGTAAGAGATGCACTGTCTCTTATAAAAATACACTTTGCAACACTGGACTGCAAGGAGCAGAGGTCATTTGACCACGCATACGGCATCTGTGATCAATTACTCACTCTAGCAGTAAACAAGATACTCGCCCCTTCTGAGAGGGCTTTGCCCCTCAGGGCTGAAAGGGATTGAAGGGGCTGAAGGGGGCTGAAGGGGGCTGATACTCCCCTCCTGGAGAAAATTTCTCCACAATCTGCCTAATTTATCATCAAACACAGAAGCTGTTCAGTAGAGGTAGACTCAAATATATATAACGTGATCTAACTTTAAACTGGCAGAAGTTCACATGAACTCTTTGCCATTGTCGAATTAGAAGGCACCTTTTTTAACATTTGAAGTCTAGCACCAGTGGGTTTTAGAAAATATCAGAGTCATTCCAAAATGTTAGGAATGGGTTCTAGGAATTAAGTCCACCTGCACATGCTAGTTGCTCCAAGAATCTTGTCCTTGTTACCACCCATTAGCGTGGAGAGTTTGATGCTGAGCGGATGAGGCTTCGTATTAGAAGCAAAATAAAAACGAAAGGTTGGATGAAGATAAAATAAAAATAAAAATCCGGCAACAACTTAAACGTCTTCAGAGTGTGGATGCTTAAATATCCTAGTAATACACATGTGCCTTATTTCCATATATTTTTTTTAAGTTAGATAAAAATGTGTAGAATAGTCAACGTATGACGTCAACTCAAGCCGCTCACAACACGTTCTTTCAACTCCAGTGATAAAAATCCTGATGTCAGCGTTCCCTGGTGTTGTGTAGTCATCGCGTTGCCAGGCGTGTTGCGTCTTTTTTATTTATTTTTTAAACAATTGATAGGTTTATCTAACCTAACCTATCTTAAAATAAAGAAAACAGTGCTTCAATTTCGAGAAATGCATAACGATCGTGTGTTTTCCAACGAATTTGGCAACATCTATGTCTTTCCTCACAGCCAGACATTAACCTTGAGTTTGTGATTTGGTCATTGACGATTAAACATCGTTTTAGTATTTCACAAAACAACGCTTGGGGGTTTTATCTGCTTTTGTTATGAGGTCGGGTATTGTTGTGGGTTACAAGAATTGGTGGTGAGGGGGAGAAGCGGGAAGGTATATGAGAGGGGGACGAGGGGGAATAAGGGACGATAAGCTCGATAACACTCTGAAAGAGATAACGGAAATTCCCTCCATGTATCAGCAAGGGCATTAAGGCTCACACACACTGTTACAGCGAGTCTTTCCTTGTGTGAATACCGTCAACAACACATCTGTGCATACGTGTCTCTTCTCACAACAAATCGGTAAAGGTTGACTGTGGTTGTTATAAACATTTGAGCTACGTGGTTCCACTACCTACTGGTTCTCAGTAAGGCAGAGCTGTGTGTTGGTGGCTGGTGTATAGCAGTGTGTTAGTGGCTGGTGTATAGTAGTGTGTTGGTGGCTGGTGTATAGCAGTGTGTATACCTACGGTGCTCCTGGGTGGGTGTTCAAGTCAGGCTAATACCTCAGCAAGGTTTATTGACTTATGAGTAGACTGGACTGGGTATATACGCCAAAACGTGCATATACTCCGAGATATGATAAATTAGACACATATGCAACACTTGGGTATCTTTAATGAGGAAACGTTTCGCCACACAGTGGCTTCATCAGTCCATACACAGGAGAATGGTAAAGAACAGGAGGGTTGAGGTAATCAGTCCCTCAGCCTTGAGTCAGTGTGGTCAGTCCATCAATCTTGAAAAGAATACAGCATATCTGCAGAAAAGTAGCTTGTAAACCGTAGGCAGGAGAGGTGCAGCAGTCGTAGGTGGTGTCACATTTGACACCACATATGCGGAGAAGTAGCTTATATACCGTAGGCAGAAGAGGTGCAGCAGTCGTAGGTGGTGTCACATTTGTCCAATGTGGAAGTAGGTCATACCCAAGGGTTAGGCAAGTGAAGAATTCCCTGTATTAAGATTCCAAGATGTTGCTGTGTCAGACAGGAATGTAGATGAATAGTTCAGAGAACCGACAGGTTGTAGATGAATGGTTCTCTGAACCATTCATCTACTTTCCTGTCTGACACAGCAACATCTTGGGATCTTAATACAGGGAATTCTTCATTCGCCTAACCCTTGGATATGACCTACTTCCACACTGGACAAATGTGACACCACCTACGACTGCTGCACCTCTTCTGCCTACGGTATATAAGCTACTTCTCCGCACATATGCTGTATTCTTTTCAAGACTGAAGGACTGACTACACTGACTCAAGGCTGAGGGACTGATTACCTCAAACTCCTGTTCTTCACCATTCTCCTGTGTATGGACTGATGAAGCCACTGTGTTGCGAAACGTTTCCTCATTAAAGATACCCAAGTGTTGCATATGTGTCTAATTTATCAACCTGTCTGTTCTCTGAACCATTTATCTACACTCCGAGATATACACCTTTCGGTGTATATCTCGGAGTATATGCACTACAAGTGTGCATATCTTCTGAAAATATACACAGAGGTTGTATATCAAAATTTATGTATGGAGAACTGTTTAATTCGGTGTATGTATATTGAAATTTAATTCCTTCTTTTATGGATTTATAGTGTTCTTCTGAATGTGTATAGGCGAAATATACGTCTCAGTATCTAATCTCATACAGTGTTAAGACTAACACAGTATCCAGGCAGAGGCAGGCAGTGTGAGTTATATAATGTTACTGACACATTGTAGCTGCAGGATACTTATGCATTGATCAAGATAATATGTAAACGTCTCGCCACGAGCAACGAAACGTTTCTATATATGTCGTGAGCTATATATGCATGTCGTTTATGTAAAATCTGAGGGAGTTGCAGAAGAAATTGAAGGCTCCTAAACAAGTATTTAACTTGGAAATATGAAGACATATGCAGTATAATGTGATCCTTTATTGACAACGTTTCGCCCACACAGTGGGATTTTTCAAGTCACAAACAGATCTGTTTGTGACATGAAAAATCCCACTGTGTGGGCGAAACGTTGTCAATAAAGGATCACATTATACTGCATATGTGTTTATATTTAGATTGTGTCGGTATTTTATACCATTTATTTCCAAGCATTTAACTTGAGATCACTTTTTTCCCTCAAAAAGTTAGTAAAAGTTATGAAAAGTCTTTGATAAGATAGGTAAATTAAGTCATTGTATATTCTGCATAATTTAACAAAAAATTGATTGGTTGGCTAATGGGATTCTAGACTATCCACACCACTAGCTTTATCACGGTTATACGTAACCTTCTTCATCGTCTTTAATCCCGAAAACAGGAATTAAAGTGAACTCTTGGTATATATATATACACACACTGAGAGAAATAAACTTCTGGATTTGAAATCTTCCTTATGAAGAAAGATTGAAGACTCTTAAGTTACATTCACTTGTTAGACGAAGAATGAGGGGAGACCTGATCGAAGTGTATAAGTGGAAGATAGGTATTAATAAAGGGGATATTAACAAGGTCTTGAGGATATCTCTCCAAGAGAGAACCCGCAGTAATGGATTTAAATTAGATAAGTTTAGATTTAGAAAGGACATAGGAAAGTATTGGTTTGGAAATAGGGTAGTTGATGAGTGGAACAGTCTACCTAGTTGGGTTATTGAGGCTAGGACTTTGGGTAGTTTCAAATTTAGGTTGGATAAATACATGAGTGGGAGGGGTTGGATTTGAGTGGGACTTGCACATCAGAGATTGATGAGAGTAAGACACATGTGCAACATCTGGGTATCTTTATTGTAGACGTTTCGCCATCCAGTGGCTTTATCAATACAAATTCCAGGACATAACTTGAAGACAGTAGAACTATGTACAGAAGATGAGGTAATCAGTCCCTCAACCTAGGAGTAGGTGCGAACAGCACCATAGTCGTGGAGATTATTTCTTGGGTGGCATTGAAAATTGGGTAGGTCAAATGTTTTGTTAGTGGGATGAATTGTAAAGGACCTGCCTAGTATGGGCCAACAGGCCTGCTGCAGTGTTCCTCCTTTCTTATGTTCTTATGTTGCTTTTGGTTCAAAATTATATATTTGCATAATGAAAATTTGCAAATGAATTGTTTGGTTTCTTTTTAGGAAAATGAGAAACATATCGCCAGATTGTAATTTTTGATGCAAAATCTATTTTTATTGTTCATGCTAGAGAGAAGGTTGACAGTTTAACCGAACCATGCAAAAAGTATGACCTAAGGGGGATTACCAACAGACCCCTGGCAGTCTTCAAGCTGACACTGGACAAGCACCTAAAGTCGGTTCCTGACCAGCCGGGCTGTGGCTCGTACGTTGGTTTGCGTGCAGCCAGCAGCAACAGCCTGGTTGATCAGGCTCTGATCCACCAGGAGGCCTGGTCACAGACCGGGCTGCGGGGGCGTTGACCCCCGGAACTCTCTCCAGGTAAACTCCAGGTAACTTTAGTCAGTCTACCTTCAGTTAGAAGGTTAAGTAATACTCGTCAGGAAACTGGATAATTGTTTCCTGATGCGTTTCTTAGTCGTATCATAACCCACCACTTGAGCTTTAGGTTATCTGATCGAGGCCTTCCGCTGGCTTACCACCCCACCCCTTTAAAAATTATAGTTAATAACTATTATAAAAATATAGACTCGGTAATACGATCAACTGTATATAATAGTATAATGTTTTTTTTTTTTTTTGTAAACAAAAGTATAAGAAATGTAATTATTATAAAAAATATCATTATTATTTCTAATATTACATTATTATTATTATTATAATCAAGGGGGAAGCACTAAACCCGGAGGATTATACAGCGCCTGGGGGGGGGATGTGGAAGGCATTCAGGCTTAATTCGGGGAACTGGAGCACAGATCCAATTCCCTAAATCAAGAGCCCCTCACCAACATCAAGGAACCTTCCTTGAGGGGTTCTAATATTACAACACTACATATACCCAAATAAACATTAAACACATTCTCATAATAAGAGAGACTCTGATCTCAATGGTGACATGCTTGATGATTTATATAAATCAAATATACCATAAAATGTGTTATGAAATAAGTGGTACTGGAAAATTTGCTTAGCAGCTAACATCAGTTTGGCTGAATAAATAACAGAAAGGCACAATACCGTGACTGGAACGATACACAAATAACCCGCACATAAAAGAGAGAAGCTTACGACGACGTTTCGGTCCGACTTGGACCATTGACCATTGACCTTGTCAATGGTCCAAGTCGGACCGAAACGTCGTCGTAAGCTTCTCTCTTTTATGTGCGGGTTATTTGTGTATCAGTTAGGCTGAAATGGCGAAGTTATTCTAACTGACCATGAACTTATTAATTTTGTGTGGTCAGTAAAATAATCGTAAATACAAGTATAAGAAGAGAGGAGTAACTAATTAGGAACCTGTACAGAGACATTTCTCTCACTAGGAGCTTCTTAATAACTCCACTTCAGAAAATATTGTCTGAGGAAGGTTAGATGTTGGTATATCAGTCAGGTATGATGTGTCAGTTCACTTGACTGACGTGTACACTAAAATATATTTGGCCAGAACTTCCTCATACTCTGAAGTTTCCGGTGTTGTGCCTGTGCTCGGTTTCTTGTTTATTAAGAGTTTTGCTCCTTCATCTTCATACGTTGTTGGTTGATTGATCAATGAACCTGCACGACCAGACAAGAAGACTTTAATTCCATAAAAAGGGATTAAAGTAATCTAAGTATATACCCTGAGAAAAATACATCCCTAGAAGTATATATAGTATCCTGTGATACGTTTCCATTAGTGTTTCTATATGGTGGCCTGGTGGTTAACGCTCTCGCTTCACAAGGCGAGGGCCTGGGTTCGATTCCCAGCCAGAGTAGAGACATTGGGCGTGTTTCTTACCACCTGTTGTCTATGTTCACCATCAGTAAAATGTGATGAATGGTTTGAAAAACCGACAAGTTGAAGATTGAGACACTTATGCAGCATATGGGAATCTTTATTCAGGAAACGTTTCGCCACACAGTGGCTTCATCAGTCCAATACAAAGAGGAAGGCGTAAGGAGAGGAGGAGTATGAGGTAATCAGTCCCTCAGCCTGGAGTCGATGTGTTCAGTCCATCAATCTTGTAGAATGTACAGCATAGGGCCGTAGACGTGGCTTATATACTGTAGTGAGGTGACTTGAAGCAGACGGAGGCGGGATCATAGTGGTACCATCCACTAGTCGAAGTAGGTCTTTGTCCAAAGATTGAACAAGCGTTGAAGAATTCTTTGTAAGAAGATCCCATGACACTGCAGCATCATGGGATCTTCTTACAAAGAATTCTTCAA